AACTTTTTTTTTATTTTTAGCATAGCATATATTACACATATACCACCCATATAGCATAAAAAATGATCGCATATAATGGAACATTTATAGCATAGGAAAAGTTTCGAAAATTTCCCTACAACTTAACTTTTACTATGGACACTATGGACACTAGGGACAAATATAGAAGAAAAGAAGCAATAAACTTAAAATCCCCAAAAACGATACCATAATTGTCCATAGAAGCGTCCATAGAAAAATTTCCCTATGGACACTCAAAAAAGTAGCATACACATTATCTCCGACCCAGATTAAACCATGATCGGACCTCGGAAGTGCTTACAACATCCCGCCAATATACCGGCAACTAATAGGCAATAGTTGGTGCACTTCCGGCAATCAAATGGGTCAGGCCAAGATAATACATATGCACCTCCAATTCTAGATACAAAAAATATGTGGCACAAATGCATATATATTGGGTTCCGGAAACATTCCCAGAACATTCCCGTCACTATCCCGTAACTATGTGAGGGTGTTCGGACGCCGAACAGGATCACGTGACCGGCGCAGTAAGGCGCAGTCAAAAATCGCTCTATAAATTCGGCCAGTTCTTTAGACATAATATTTCGGCATCCAAGCTGGCAAACTACCAGTTCCCTACCAGTTCCATGGCAGTTCCACAGTAGCTACCAGGTCACTACCATGGCACCAAGTTGGAACCTCAAATCATGTGTCTAAAAGATCGGCCGAAATTATGGCATAGTGCCGGCCGAAATTAATCGCGGATCTAGATCGAATTACTGCGCCACCCGACGTGATATTTTTTTTACCATATTTCGGCATTCTGGCAGGCAACAAAATAGGTAAAGAAGGAAAGCACCCTCGACACCTTAACAGGCAACCAAAGAGACCCAGAAGCAGGTAAACAAATAAATAGCTCTTTATTAATAAAATGAGCACAGACCATTGAAAATAAGCAGATAGTTAGAAGGTAATAAAAAAGAAATAGAGCAATAAAATCAAATAAATATCTACAAAGCAATAAAAAAGCTACAAAATAATAAAATCAAGTAGATAGCAATAAAGCAATAAAAAAGGCCATAGAGCACGAAAACAAGAAAGTAGGTAACATTATACCCATAAGTAGGTAACATTATATAGCAAGTAGTTAACAGTCTAATAGACTGTTAACTACTAATTTCTTTGACTTGATAGACGGTCTTGATGTAAGTTTTTTCTTCTTTCTTTTCGTTTTCTCTCCTTTTTTCTTTAAAGTTGGTACTAATAGGACCCCGAAGAATACATATATAACTCAGATCTAGACTCAAAATTTTAATATAACTTTATACACTTAATTTTATTAAAAGCTTTATACAAAATCATCATATAAGTTTAAATTTTATTATAAATTATACAATTTCAGATGTGAGTTTATATATAATCAAAATTATTTTTTATTTATACTAATAAAATTTCTTCAATATCTAATTATCACATTAGTTTTGTGTAATTATATGAATTATTTCTTTTTGTTTAAAAAAATCATAATAAGTTTTTGCTTTACCTAATAATTGAAGAGTATTATCAAAATTTTGTATATCCTATATATCTAAATGATAAAGAACATTCTTTGGACATTGGTGTGTAATTAAAACTTGACCTTCTTCTATTTTAGCTGAAAAAATATTACGAATAATAGGAGTAAAAACTTTAAGAGTTAAATATGATATATTTTCAATATCAGTAATTGGTTCCTGATTATAAGAATGATATCCATAAGCTTCATAAAAACTAGAAATTACTTGTCCGATACAAAGTTGTACTCCAAAATAAGCTATAACATAATTTTGTTCATTAAGAGGATTATTATGATTAATATTTGCATACTCTATGTTTTTAACTATAAACAATTAAATTAAAAGTTAGTCCAAAAGTAAAATTTTAATAAATATTAATATAAAATTATTTTAATTTAAACTTACTTAAACTTTGATTACTAGATAAAATTTTTTGTTTTTTATCTGATAATTTACTTTTGTAAATATTAGCAATAGATTGACTTACAAGTTTTCGTTCATTTTTCCATCTTTTTTCTTGCTGTTTAACAAATCACATTTCTGCATTTTCATTTTTAGTAAAAAATGATACAATATGATTTGCTTGATTTGGATTAATTAAATCTGAATTGATTATTCTTGTATTATTTGTCTTGATTGTCCATTCAATATTTCGAGAAGTATAAGCATTATGCTTTTCACGTTGATAAACCATTTCTTGAATATCAATTCCATTTTTAGTGACAAATATCACATTATCGAAATCTTAAAATTAAAAAAAAATTTAAATATTTTTAAAAAAGTTTAAAATATGTAAATAAAATATAGTAACCTGTGCTAATCATGTTTTTTGAAGTTTCTATTTCAACCATATCAATAAAAGAAAGTTGTTTTTTGCATTCATTTAATGATGAGTTTTTACTTTCATCATTTATATCCATTTTATTTCTTTCATTTTCTCTTTACCTCAAAAGATCCACTTCATTAGCAGCATGACTAATTATTTGAGAAAGACCACAATTAGATAAGTTTTCATTCGAATTCTCCCTATCCTGCATGTATTTATCATTTGAACCAGAAATTTCTATATCATTAGGTGTTATTAAGACATAAGGCCAAAGTGAATTAATAGGTATAATATCAGGTGTTAACATTTCCAAATATTCAGCAAGATTACATGCTATTTGACGTGATTAATCAAATGTATGACGAATTTGATCATCATCTGGCCAGGTTCGTAATAGATTAATTTGATCATTTTTGATAAAATTTTGATTATATTCAAACTGATACCCTAAAATTAAATAACTTATTTTTAAATGTACTGATATAAATTATAATACATACAAAAATCATTTTACTTACCTTCACGTACAGATTTATCTTTATTAAAAGATATTTCCTTCGAATTTAATGCTTTAGTATAATGTTTTATTTTTGGTACCATATCTAACAACTCTGCAAAGTCAAAATCGGCGTTGACTTGTCTTGCTGCACCAAAAAAATGCTCACATGCTTCTGAGTCATGTATTCAAGAAACAAGAGGATATTGATTATAGAAATCTCTATGAGCTTTTACGAGTAAAACCATTGATTCAGCCAATAAAGTAAGTATTGCAAATATTTGAGATGCAATAAAATTCTGGTTAGAGGAAATGAATTTAGGGTATTTTCGTGCTAATGTATTTATATGAAATCACCAAATTCGTAAAAAAAAGTAGGATATCATCACCATTCTTATTCGTTCAATAGAAGTAATATTTCGATTCAAATAACTATCAACCAATTCGCCTACATCAATAATAAAAGGTAATCAATTTCAATTCATATTTTTTATTATAAAATCGGGAATACATACCAATTATAAATAGATATACAAATGTTTCTTCAAATTCAGGTTTGATTTTATTATTAGGATCGAGACAACATTTCAGATTTTTAGGACAGAAAATTCGATAAGCAGCACCATCATCTTGTCGGTTAAGTTTATATATATATATCACATTTATACATAGGACTTTCAGGGTGAGTAAGCAATTTTGTAAAATGGCCAAATCCCACGGTAGAATGATTAAGTGAAAGAACTCGAGCACCTGATATTGCTGCATTACATCCTATTTTTTTAGCATGTTTAGGGTCCTGAACTTGTATTACTGGTCCAATATTTGGAAAAATCGGACAATTGAAATCAATATTGTATGGTGAATAACTAATTCTAAGTCTACTGGAAGTTGATATTTATTGAACTTGATTTTGCGCATTAAACTCAACTTGAGCACTATCAGATCCAATCGAAATTATATGTAATTTAAGTTCTTGCGCAAAATCTAGAAGTAATGTATGTATGTCCAATATTGATTCCGTTTTATCAGATCCAAGATTAGAAAGAAGAGCAATAATAACGGAAGGGAATTTTGGCAATGGAACCTAATATATGATTTTAATCATCAATAACCGATATTAATGCAAATGTATTAATTACAGTTTTAACTTACTTGCAATATATATACTCTTACATATTTGGCAACAGCATTATTTTTTTTGATTTTATCAATTGTGATCGAAATATCATTATATGTTTTAATATTTGTTTCATTATTTGAGAATGTAGAGCCAATAATGCATCCCATCTGTGAAGAATAGCGAAGACGGAGTTTCAGTTTGGTATTGTCTGTCATGGCTGCGATTGGCCCATCATAACCAATAGAGTTCAAAAATCGTTTGAACTGAGCCACATTTTCGAAACAAAGATTTGGATCTGTTAGCATATCTTTGGAATTAGAACGCAAATGCCTAGAAGTAAGAAATTGTTATAATAATATATTTAATATAATAAGTATACATCAGGAAATTTTATAGCGCGAAAAATTGCGTAAGTTTACGATTTTGTAAGTTTA